AGCACGGCCACCCAGGATACACCGGCAGATATCTTGGCCAATCTACAGACCCTCAATAGCAGGTTGTCTAAGGTGGAGAGCGCCATCTCCTCCTCAGGTACTAACACCGTAGTCCCAGTCTCTACCACGGCTGTACCTGCCATACCTTCATGTCCCTCTATACTCCCCCCTCCAGCACCTGGCACAGCCATCACACCTTTCGAGTCACCAGCACACTCCGTCCCAGATTCTATCAGAAAAGATATCCTTGACGGGAAGGATGTGTGTCTGGTGTCTTTACTCATAGCCTCTCAGGATGTACTCGAGAACAAGGCATACAATTATGGTGACATCTCTGTCGTGCTTAAAACGAGGGATCCCAGGCTTAATAAAAAATTGTCTATCCCACAGTTTGTGATAGCTTTCGGGATATACCGCGACGTCATTTGCACGGTGTATCCCCATAGGAGAGAAGAGCTAGATCTCTATCTCCACAAGGTAGTGGATCTAGGCATCAAGTATGGGGGCTCTTCCTTCTATGACTACCACAAGTCAGTCTCAGCGAAGGCGGCGACCCATCTCAAGCAGTTCAACATTAGAATGAACTGGGGTCAGATGGACACTGAACTTTTCTGTCGCCACTTCGCTGGACTCAGGTCCCCGGCTTGTGCCATCTGTAATTCTACATCCCACATGGCGGACTTATGTCCCGTCGAACCAGATCCTACCACCTCCACTCTCACCCCTCACCCCACGTTCACACCTCACTCCTCTTTCACCCCTCACAAGCCAGCGGGTGGTCTCCGGGATAAGCTGGGTAGGCCCATCTCCTTTTTAGGTAAAGCACAGGTGTGCAATAATTTCAACGCAGGCTCCTGCAGTTTCAGCGCCTGTAGACTATTGCACATCTGCTCCATATGTTTCAGGGCACATACCAAGACCATGTGTCCAGCCAGGTTGTCACCAAACAAATGACTAACCGACATTAATATCGATAACCTGGTTTTTTATCTAAGGTGTCACCCCAGCAGGCACTTAGTGGATTTTCTCACCACAGGTTTTTCACAAGGGTTTCACACAGGCATAATAGCCATTCCCCCAGGTACACTAGAATGTCCTAATCTCCAGTCTGCACGTTTAGACCCAGTCGCTGTAGACACTCTCATTTCCGCAGAAACCACAAACGGTTTCATGATCGGTCCTTTCACCTCTTCACCGTTTTCCTCCTGGCGCACTAACCCCATTGGTATTGCTATTCACAAATATTCTAATAAAAAACGTCTCATTATCGATTTATCGGCACCGCACTCCTCTTTTGTTCCAAGCATAAACGCACTCATTCCAGCAGACGAATTCTCTCTGCAGTACGTCACCATCGACGACGCCATACAGTCTATCATGACATCTGGTAATCGACCCTGGCTCAGCAAAACAGACATCACTAACGCTTTTAAATTACTGCCCATACACCCCTCACTCTGGCACTTACACGGTGTTAAATGGCGAGGGTATTATTACTTCTCAACACGACTCACTTTTGGTTCCCGAAGCAGCCCCAAACTTTTCGACATTTTCGCTGAGTCACTATGCTGGCTGCTTCTGAATGTCATCAGGTGTCACTCCGTTATTCACTATCTAGATGACTTTCTACTGATAGAGCCAGGGTCATCAACACCCACAGCAAACAATAGTACTACCGCACTTTTTTCCACACTTGGAGTCCCTTTGTCCCCAGCCAAAACTATAGGACCCACTACAAAGTTGACCTTTTTAGGCATAGAGCTCGATTCTGTCAAACTCAGAGCTAGCCTTCCACACGACAAACTTTCACGATTGAGAGGGGAGATAGACATGTTCCTGCGGAATGACGTTTGCACCAGGAGAGAACTTCAGTCCCTTCTTGGATCTCTGAACTTCGCCATGCGCATCATTCCGCAGGGAAGGTCTTTTATTTCCAGACTTCTTTGCCTGCTCCATGGAGTCCCGGACTCCGGCACAGTTTCTTTGGACCCCCACGCCAAGGCTGACTTGGCTATGTGGGGGAAGTTTTTGAAAGACTGGAATGGTATCTCCATGTTTATCCCCCCTCTCTCCACCTCTTCACCCATCATCCACACGGACGCAGCAGACAACACCGGTTTCGCAGCCATTTTCGGGAACCACTGGTTTAGGGGCCACTGGCCCACTGAGACGGATGCCTTGCCAGGATTCAGGGAAACCTCAACCCTATTTGAAATTTACCCCATTGTGGCGGCCGCACACACCTGGGGTCATCTCTGGTCCGGCAAGGCAGTAAAATGCTACTCAGATAACTCGGCAGCTTGCGATATTATTAACAAAGGGCGCTCATCATCCCTAACCATCATGCGGCTGATTCGCAAGTTGACCTGGCTGGCAGCATCCAATCAGTTTCACTTAGTATGTTCTCACATCCCGGGTATTCACAACACCGCCGCTGACGCTCTTTCTCGTTCTCGATTCCAGGCATTTTCTCAGGCACTCCCAGCAGCTCACCATCAGCCATCCAGGACACCACGGTTTCACGAACTAATATTGGATTAAGCACACTCTTGCTTCACGCTAGATCACTCACTCACCAAGCATTATCACCCAACACTGCTATCACTTACAATAGGGCACTTAACATATTTAATAAATTCACTGCAGAATTCGGGCTACAAGGCGACTTTTCTATCCAAACCATGGTGTCTTTTGCCACTTTCTGCCACCTACACCTTAAGCTGTCACACAACACCATTAAACTTTACCTCACCGGGGTTCAGCACCACAGCCTCACCAATTTTCCTAACAGCACCCCCTTTTTGTCTTCATACCCCATAAAAAAGGTCTTGAAAGGTATATCTAAGGTTTCACCACCACTCGCAAGCACTAGATTACCCATAGATGGGCCTATCTTCAGGTCTCTTAGCAATCTCCTTGACACAGCCCCATTTGATAGCTACACCAATACGGTGATAAAATCTGCCATATATCTCGCTTTCTACGGTTTTCTCAGACCTAGAGAGTTCACAGTGATTTGTCAAGGAGATATCGCACTATGCCTTAAAACTTCACACCTCACCAAGGTAGAGGATCACTACCTCCTCTCTATCCCTACCACTAAAACCAACCGGTCAATACATCCTACTATAATTCCTCTCTTCCCTACTGATAATGCCTGGTGTCCGGTGAAAGTTCTCGACCAACTACGGTCTACTTTTCGCACTCACCTGCCAGACTCTCCGCTCTTAACATTACAAGGGCACCCGCTTACCACGGCAAAATTAATGTCACATGTCAGAACCCTGTTATCCAAGCTCGGACACAATCCGGCTGCATTCTCCGGGCACTCCTTCCGCATAGGAGCCGCCTCAGCAGCCTCAAGCACAAACGCACCGGTCCACATCATCAAAAGGCTCGGGCGATGGAAATCCTCCATATATAACGCATATATTCCGCAACCAGAGAAAGAGCTTCGCCAAGCTTTCAGAAACTTGGTCTTGTAAAATGCAATAAAGTGTGTATTTTCTCGAATTTATCTTTTTGCCCTCTTTTATTTACAGGCCCACTCGTACGTTGGTTTCGGCACACCACAACCAACTTTGCTCACAGTTACTATCCATCACGTATTTAAATTCCGAGCACAAGTAGAAAGGCCATTAGGCCTGAATTTGTGGGAGGAGTAAGTCCCCTACTTAAGCTCTCAGCCCCTACTCACCGCTGCCGCTCAGCTGATTGTCCCCACCCACCTACACCCTGTTTTAACTACATTATCCTTGGTGGGCCCTCTTTTATTTACAGGCCCACTCGTACGTTGGTTTCGGCACACCACAACCAACTTTGCTCACAGTTACTATCCATCACGTATTTAAATTCCGAGCACAAATATATATATATATATATATATATATATATATATATATATAAAAAACAGTGTTGGCTACCTCCTACGCCTCTACTGCTGCTTCCACCTGCACCGCCACGGTCACCGCCTCCTCAACCTATGGGTCACTTAGTATAAACTATGTACACATTAGCAGAGGCTTGTAAAGACCTTTTCTCCATGCATCAGGAGTTGAGCTCAGTTTGAGCAATGAAAGAGAATACCCTGCACTCCAACCCTCTCTAAAATGGATAATTCTGATGATCCTCCTGACAGCCATGCTTTAGATTTTGATTTATGTTCTTCCAAAGGTAAAATCAAAGATTCCATCTAGTGCTATTTTATGGTTCAGCTGTATTTTTAATTTTTATGTTATTTTAAGTGATTTCCCTATCCACATTTGTTTGCAGGGCACTTGTCCTACTCTTACCCCCATTTTACTTCCTTTTGCAGCTCTCTAGCCCTTTCCAGGAGTTTTTTAGAGGCATTTTTGTGCCCAAAAGTTCAGGTCCCCATTGACTTCAATGGGGTTTGGGTTCGGGGTCAAGTTCGGGATCAAGTTCAAGCCCGAACCCGGACTTTTTTTTCAAAGTTCAGCCGAACCCGCCGGACACGAACAACCAGGTGTCTGCTCAACTCTAGTTGTTATACATCCTTTGCTTCTCTAAATGCTCTGCAAAAAAAATAATGAAAAAATAATATATATATGCAAAATAAATCAGCGCAAAATAAATTTGTAACTCTACAGGATCTCTGATAACTTTTAAACTGAAATTGTTGAAAGGCTTATTTAAATAAAATGTTAAATACATTTACAGCTTTAAATGTAACCAAAAGATACTAAATGATGTGTTAAGCAGCCAGCCCAATTAACTAGAATAACATAAGTATTCTACCATTTAAAGTGCACAATTCCTGCACATAATGACTTTGCTTACTCAGGTACAGTCTTTAATCTATTGCAATGGCAGAAGGATTAACCCCTTAACGACGAGTGACGGACGAGGTCCGTCACTCAGGGGTTTGCCATAACGACGAGTGACTGACCTTGTCCGTCACCCGTTAAAATTAACCCCGGATCGCCGCAATCGCACCCGATCTGGCTGCCCCAGCACATGTGCTCGCTATGACAGGCTGCATATACTCAGCTTCCGCCTCCCTGCACTTCCTGGTTCTGTGTGAAGTGCAGGGAGCTGGAACAGTGCTGATCCTGCCCTCTGTTAAAAAAATAAAAATTAATGTTTATTTAAAATCCCACCCCCCTTTACTCATTTTAATTAAAAATTAACCCCATCCCTGCCAATTGATCACTGACTTCAGTGATCAATTGGCAGGGATTACATTTTACTGTCATCTGTTTTTTTTTTTTAACCCCTGAGGGTTAATTTTTTTTTTAACCCTTTAATTTAAATATTTAAAAATTCTATATTTAGCTAGCTGGTGTGGGTGGAAGTTAGTGGGGAATTGGGGGATTTGGTGTTAGGCTACCTAGGGGTTAACGTTAAAAAAAGTTTTAAAATAAACATTAAAAAGTTAAAAATGAAGCTAAAATGTTTTTTAATAATGTTTAAGAAAAAAAAAAAAAAAAGACACCCCCCTTTACCCAGTCCAAATAAAAATTAACACCTTCCCTGCCAGTCGATCACTGCCTACAGTGATCAAAATACAGATCACAGTATTATACTGTGATCTAATCTTTTTTTAACCCCTGAGGATTAACTTGTTATTATTTTTTAACCCTCAGGGGTTCAATTTATTTAATTTAAATATTTTATAACTATATATTTTGCTAGCTGGGGTGGGTGGGAATTATAGGAAAATGGGGAATTTACTGTTAGTGCTGCTTACTGCTAGTTAGGGGTTAATGGTAAAAAAAAAAAAAGCTTAGAAAAATGTTAAATCTGTAAAAAAAATTTAAAAAAGTTTAAGAAAGTTTAATAAATTAATAAGCAAAACAAAAGTTTAAAAACTAGTTTTTAAAAGTAAAAAAGTTTCAAAAAGTAAAAAAAATACATTTAAAAACGCTCATTACCACTACACCTGAAACAAGCTAGAAAAAAAATGATCCCACGCTAAGGTTCAAAATATGTCTTTTGAATTACCCCAGGGTGTATTCTTTAATAAATAGTATGTGTTTGTGGGGAAGTTTCAATAACCAACCGTCTAAACTACTCCAAATTGGAACATGAACACAGCATAAAACTTCAAAGTTAGAAAAAAACTGAATGGCTGCGTTTCAAATGCGCCCCTTCAACATCCACATATACCTGGCAAAGGTACATACAGGGGTATTGCTGTACTCAGCCGACATAGCTGAGCAACATATGAAGTATTATACACTGGCAGCACACATAAGGTTTGCAAAATATACTGCAATTGCAATCCATATGTAAAAAACGCACAAAATGATTTTTTATTACATGCTTTAGCATATATTGGTGAATAAATGGGGGCATGTTAAGGCACAATATGCACCTTATGAGATACCCTGGAGTGTCTACTTTTACAAATGGTAGGCCTTTGTGGGTTTTTTTTGAACAGTTAAACTGCTATAATACCCCAAATGGAAGCATAGGCTCATTAAATCCGTCTCTCAAAATTCTACTGTGAATACTGAAAAGGACAGATCTCCTATATGGCACTGTAACTTCACGAAATAGTGCCAAAGACATACAATGGGGGTATCATTTTACTCAGCAGATGTAACTGAACACAAAATAAAACTTTGTACAGGAATAGCACACACCAACTTAACAAAATAAACATGAGAAGTTCTTTGTTATAAGTTTGTGTGCCAAAAACCAAAAAAAAAACAAAACACAATTTTACTCCAATATTTAGCAGAGATTGGCAGTGAAATGGCTATGTAGAAAGTATCAAAACAACCCTAGGTAAATAGCCTGTGATGTCTTCTTTATATAAATATATACTTTTGTATGGCAATTTTGTTTTCTTTTATGGCTACTAAGCTTACAAAACAAACATACCAAATTCTAAAATCGCACCACATTAAAAGTTTATTTTACTCCTTGTGCTTTGTGACCTGTAACTACCAAAAAAAACTTAAAATCCCAGACACATTATATATTCTGTAAATCAGAACAACTAAATTAATTAATTTTTAATTACTTTCCTTAACCTGCACTAATTATGCACACATTATAATTGAAAAAAACTGTAAAAAAAACAACAACATTTACTCATGGGTTAGCTCCTCCCCTTACAGCAGAAAGGACAGGAAAGAGAACATTGAAATTGGTATAAATAGATCCTCCCCCTTCCCATCAGGCAGTCTTTTTTTCTGTCTTTCACAGCAGTTTGGAAGGAGTCTGCTTAAGCAGGCCTAGATTTTTTTTTTTTTATGCTCACCGGGCAATACCCCTGCCGGGGTTCAGCCTCTAAGCCCTGAAGACTCAGCAAAATGCACTAATAATGGATATCCTGGCTGTATAAAGACTGCTGGAATTCCACAGCCTGAAGACAGAATAATATCCAAGGTAAGAGAACTTTCTTGGGTGGTGATTGAAGTACATACATGTATATGACAGGTTTTAAAAACCTAACTCTAGAGGGGGGAAGAGGGGGAGAGTGGGGGGAGAGGGGGAGGGGAGGGAGGGAGAGGGAGAGGGAGAGGGAGAGAGAGAGAGATTGTAGTTGTGGCAGGGATTTAGGCCTATATAAACCCAGCAAACCCAGGCTTACCTGTCTTCGAGGGGGAGAGGGGGAGAGGGGGAAGAGGGGAAGAGAGAGAGACTGTAGTTGTGGCAGGGATTTAGGCCTATATAAACCCAGCAAACCCAGGCTTACCTGTCTTCGACGATTCTGGAAATTCTCTTCGCTTCCGGCGAACACAGACCTCTGACGTCATACTCTCGCGACGCTCAAAGAACGCTCAGGCAGTGAGTATTACACAGTCGAACGGGTCCTTTCGGCAGTTTTCAACGCAAACAGTAAGTCCATTCACTTTTCACTCCATATACAGTACGTTCGCACAACTCTCGTTCGCATGAATTCGACAGGGGGGTTGCCCGATCTGCATTTTTATCAGCTTAATGCAATAATAAAAACTCACACTGCTCTGCTCACTGGGAGACAAACATGATACTACTCTTGCATAGGTACTTCGAGCCAACCCAACTGTCACATATATACCATCTGCAGCAAAAACGCTCATAACACGATACGCTAGGTTCTGTAGCACACAGAAGGGCAGATTTTTTATTTTCACATACAAATACATTTCACGTAGTAACCATACAGAATGGTCCACACCGTGAATTATTCGCTAATCAATGCACTTTAACACATGGAAAACAGAATTGTAAAAGTTGCTAATATGCAAACAAATATCCAACTAAATTATAGTCACAGCTTGGCTAGAATTTTGTGCTCAGTTCCCAGTAGTTCACTGTCTGGTTATTAAACCCCCTACTCATATAATAATAAAGAACATATAGTTCTCTCACATACAAAGCTGCATATTATGGTTACAAACCAGGATTCCCTGATAGATGCTAGTATTGTGGTAAAGAAGCAGCTTCACGGTCTCATGTCCTCTGGGACATTCTGGACAGAGCTTTAATTATTTATAATTGGCACGATCTCCTTCACCATCCAGACCCACCTGAGGTTCTCCTACTGAATATCTTTCAGCATTCATCTACAATAGTAGGAAGCGTTGTAATTACAAATAATTAAGAAGCCACTGTTGAGAAGGGAAAAAAAAAAAAATTGGTTAAACCATATACTGCCATCTAGGGGAAGAAAAATTAATTACAAATTCAGCCTGATACACCACGCAACAATACATTTATCTGTACAACTGTTCAAACCTGTTCACGTGTATTATATTATACATTCCTCTGAATATTACGTAAATGTTCTATTAGTATTTCATAAACAAATAGCAATTCATCCGACAGCATACAATCCGGCTATATAGCCAAGCATAAGCAAATACTAAATTAGTCCAAAAGAATAATACAACACAGTGGCTGACACTCGTACCACATCAGGGAAGAAAATACCCTGGCATAACTCAGGACACGGTTCGGGCGCTTATTAATTCATTCATACAATTACCCAGTCGTTCACCTTACTAGGAATGCATATCACGTACGCTGTTCATTTAAATAATTTATTATATAAGACACTTCTTTCCTTTCTAGGAATTAATTTCCACATTCGGTACTACAAATTACGCAGAATTACACGTATACGGTCTGGTTAGTAAATTAAAAAAAAAATCTACCGAATTTCGCTTATTTTACTCTATTACTCCTCCCATCTCTTTCGCAATAGGGGATTCAGCTTGGGTAAAAAACCGCCCGACCAAACATCTTCGCAAATAAACTCTTTAGTGCTTCTCAACTATGTGTTTCAAGTTTGCATACAGGTAAGGATAACGAACGATTAAATTGTTTTATTTCATTTACGTACATATCGTTCCTCGTGTTTAGGTGGCTGGCTGTTAAGGTCTTAGGTACCCAATAGCGGTAATCTCATCCCGGCTCTCTTGCCTTAAGTTAGAGGTCCCGCGAGGCCAACACCCATCCTCAATTCAGTGGTACTACGTCCCTTGGGCCAATTCATAGGTAGACGCCTCGCACGTGGCATAGAGAGGGCCTCACCTGTCACTCCCATTCTATCTTATGATTACTACTCACCGAGAGGCCAACACCCCGCCACAACGTTCAGTGGCCACGAAATTCCATCGTGCCAACTCATAGATAGAGCCTCTCAAGCCGCATGGCACTTAGTAGGGCCTCACCAGTCACCAACCTAGTGTAATTGCTTTGTCGCAGAGCGGCACTAGCTAGTCAGCCAGCACACACACACGCTCACACTCGTGCAAAAAAAATAAAACAAATTTCTAACATAACATCTCCTTTCACGCCCATAGCATGTCTAACGATTCAGTTCAAGAAGAAGACCTATCACTTGCCAGCACTCCCTCCAGACCTGGCACTCAGCCAAGACAGTCCAGTACGATGTCCAACTACAGATCCTGGACTGTTCCAAAAATCACAGCCGAACTGAATAGGAGAAACATTCCCTTTCCGGCTACCGCCAGAAAAGCCGAACTCTTCCGCTTGTTGAACTCTCAAAACATTGATGAGTTACCGGGCCCTAGTTCCGATTGTACGATTCAAAATAGTCTGACAGAATTACGAAATATGATGACCTCCCTGGTGGCTTCAGTTGCTACCATAAATAACAGATTAGATAACCAGGAAGCCACTAGTCAAGCTAGCATTCCGGAAGTACAAATTCCACTAAGACAATCCGAGACAAGCTCAGGAGGTAACTCCAATCCATTTCCTGCTAAAACATCTAATATAATCTACCCAGTACATTTGATACCACAAAATTTTAAAAGAGACATACTAGAAGGGAAAGATGTTAATCTAGCTTCTCTCCTCATTGCCTCACAGGATATAATCGAACAGAGCCTATACTTTCGACGATATCCGTGGTAATGAAAGCTAGAGATCCTAGGCTCAACAAAAGCTAAAATTCCTGAGTTTGTGTTAGCTTTTGGCTTATATAGAGATGTCATTTGCACTTCTTTCCCACACCGTAGAGAAAAGCTGGATCTATATCTGCACAAACTGGTGGAATTTGCTTATAAATACGGAGGTTACGCGTTCTACGACTACCATAAGTCCTTTTCTGCCAAGTCAGCCGCGTCATTGGCCCAATACAACACTCCCACCGATTGGAGTCAATTAGATACAGAATTATTCTGTAGACATTTTGCAGGGCTTAAAACACCAGCATGTGCAATATGTGCCTCAGCATCTCATACGGCAAACTTTTGTCCGAGTAACATAGGTGGCCCAAAGTATATGTACCCACTATATGCTCTATGTATGAGTTACAATGAGGACGCTGCCTCAGTATATGTACCCACTATATTGTCTGTGTATGAGTTGATCTGGTGTTCTTTATATGCTCTGAGTCACTGTGAAAACACAGCCTCAGTATATGTCCTCTACATGCTTTATAGGTAAGATGGTGTGGAGGCATTGCTTCAGTTCTCTATATGATTGATGTATTAGTGGAAAAACAATTGTGACTAAGTGCCCTTTGCCACTTTGTCCTGGAGAGGCCTGCTTACCTGTATGTATGAGTTACTATGCGGACACTGCCTCAGTAAATGTACCCACTTTATACTTTATGTAGGAGTTACTGTGAGGACACAGCCTCAGTATATGTATCCACTATATGCTCTATGTAAGAGTTACTATGAGGACACAGCCTTAGTATATGTACCCACTATATGCTCTATGTTTGAGTTACTATGCGGACACTGCCTCAGTAAATGTACCCACTATATGCTCTGTGGCGAAACCAACCTCGCCACTGTACACTGGAGAAGCCTGGTTACTCGCCTGCTGCCTTTGGACTATGGCCCCATGTTAAAAGACATATTTTCCCCTGCAGAAAAGACTTATTTGTGCTTTTCTGCCGGGTGTTCGGTAGATTTGTTTGAGTGTGTTGTACCCCAGATAGGAATCCCATGGAGCCCATTCGCATGAAACTGACTGTGTAAAGACTTTGGCTCCATGGCGATTAAACTGTATTTGTGTGGTCTGAGCGCCATTCGCTTAATAATGTGCACTCAGACCTGAGCTATGTGGGGATATGTTGAACGTATATGTTTTATGTACTGAATGTAACTGTAGGTAACTTTATGTCTTTTTTACTGTTTGTTTTCTGCCATGTGGTTAATGGAGTTTTGCCTCTGTCTTTGGAGATAATTGAATTACCTCTCAATTATCTCCAGAGCAGAGAGGAGGGATTGTGATGAATTGTGGGAGTGTTAAAGGTGTATGTCTGTGATTGGCTAAGAGCCAATATGTTTCTCAGTCTCCCATTTCGTCCCCTAGGGGAGTGTCCACCAGGTGGGAGACCTGCATAAAAGCCAGGCAGTTAGCCCCAGTGAATGAGTTCCTGCTTAACCCTCAAAGTGAAGTGTCATCTCATTATTGGGGGAGGATTTATTGTATGCTGTTCCAGTTTGACTGCTAGGAGTGTAAACCTATTTGCATGGTTTTTCCTATTCGGCTGTTTCCAGTATTCGTGTGTTTGCAGTAGCTGTCTGTGCATCTGAAAAAAGGGGAATATCGCCTAAATGGTTTTTTAACCTCTTGTGGGCAAAACGGTCCGTTACATGCTCTATGTATGAGTTACTGTGAGGACACAGCCTCGGTATACGTACACACTATATGCTCTATGTATGAGTTACTATGAGGACACAGCCTCAGTATATGTACCCACTAGATGCTCTATGTATGAGTTACTATGG